CAGGCATATATCACCTAGGGTTATATCCCAGCTCGAATATTTATTGTGTGTTCTTGTGCAAGTTACTTAACACCTCTGAAAGGCTTGGTTTTTCCATATGTAAAAAAGGTGGTTGCTGAATGGGGAAAGGCAGAACATTCTATGGCAAAGGCTGTGATGGAAAGAGCATGGTGTGCTCCAAGAAGTAAAAGAAACTTCCCTCTGATGTAATTCTAGAGAGTAGGAAAGAGAAGCAGTTCACGCCTTTGTATGACCTGAACTGAAGAACCCACGTCAAAGTAAGGATTTGTGGGGCCGCTGTCCACTGCTGAAGACATTCCAGGTCTACAATGAAATGAAGCAGAGGAGCATACAGCAGCAGAGATGAGAGTAAGAAAGTGCTTCCTGGTTTCCTACTAGGCTTTCAATGCCTAGTTCCATTCCCTTGAGGGAACTATGGAGAGAAGAAAGAGAGTAGCTGCTTTCAGATTCGGAAAGTCCGCAACCCTAGGATTCTTCCAACAAAATACTTGTTGCCCTGATGACTGCGAATTAATTTTTATGTGCAATCAAAAACTCCGATTAATTCAGCAGGACTTGAAAAGCAGGTAATTCAATATTGGACCTGGTGAGTTTTCAGTGCCTGTGAAAGGGTTGCATGGGTATACTAAGTAGGAAGACAGCAGTCAATGGGTAGGATACTACTCTTTTGTATGGATGGCAGGTAAATACATTGGCCCATTTGAATACAGTCTTTCTGTTTTTGTTAAAATTGCAGTTGAAACTATTTTGTGCTGATGTTCAACATTTTAAATACATGGTACCATGTAATAAAATTCTGTTTGAATTGAGATCCAATAAAATGTTTACATTTATTGATAAAATTTCCAACTATTTTGATCTTTATGTAACTCCCTGTGTTTCTTTATTTGCATTTACTTACAGCAAAAATCAAGACAAATTTAATGCCCCATGGTAATCAGGATATTTTAAATGGCTAACAAACTTTATCTTTTCTTATTCCTTTTAATAATTTGTATTTGTTTTATCTCTAACTGTCCTAATTTTAAAATATGCTCAAACTTTATGATAGCTCTAAGGAAAAATATATACATCTTTATTATATTTAAGTGGTATAAACAGAGAATGGGAGTATATAAACATTTCTCTATAAATCAAGTTAATTCAGCATCTTTCTTTGCCCACTCATAATCAGGATTCAGTAGAAAACAGTTCAATATTAATAGCAAAAAATTCAATTTCATTAAGAAAAATGACAAACGAGTGATTTGGCATTAGAACTCACTACAGCCTTATAAAGACTGAACAAATTCAGATATGTTTTGGTTTATACTTTGTAAAATATGATTGCCATGCAAATTCACTCCACTGGGCTGAACAAGACATACAAATTGGATTATAAATCTCAAAGTGTCAAAGTCAAATTATGACTTTGTAAATGAAACACCAAACTTATTATTATTTGAGACGGAGTCTCGTTCTGTCGCCAGGCTGGAGTGCAGTGGCGCGATTTCGGCTCACTGCAACCTCCGCCTCCTGGGTTCAAACGATTCTCCCGCTTCAACCTCCCGAGTAGCTGGGATTACAGGTGCCCACTATCACACCCGGCTATTTTTTTTTTTTTTTTTTTTTTTTTTTGTATTTTTAGTAGAGACGCGGTTTCACTATGTTGGTCTCTCTCTCTTGACCTGGTGATCCGCCTGCCTCGGCCTCCCAAAGCGCTGGGATTCCAGGAGTGAGCCACGGCGCCGGCCTTTATTTTTACGGTAAAAGAGCAACATAATTGAAGTTAAGTGCTAGAAACTGGGGAAAGATACATTCACTTCTGTATTTACAATAAATATTGACTTCAGAAAAATATATTGAATACTTTTATTATTAAAAAAATCAGCTGCTGAGGTGTTTTATGTTCTTTTGGTATATGATAGGGCTAGAGGACAGCACAAGATTGTGACTTATGTGCTAACATACAAAGAAAGCTGCTGAGTGCAATTCAAGTTCCATCCTATCCGTTTGTCCACATGCAGATTTCAAGAGCTATATGGCTGGAAGTATTCACCCTTCTTAAAGAGTTTGGTCTATGGTTATCCACGGTAAACTGGATCTCCAGACTTCTAAATAATCCCTATAGTCTGCTATAGGGCATTAGACAAATTTGTGATGTTTTTACTTTCTGAGAAACTCTTTGATGAGCATTATGTTAAAATTCACATTAGTAGCTGGTATTTTTTGGACATAAACACAGTATGGCTGATTACATAAAATTTGGAAAATCAGAAAAAAATACATAGAGAAAAAAATCACCAAAAACTAATAAATGAGTGATAATCTTTGCTGCCATTTTGATGTTTACCTGTCAGTCTGTTTTTCTACGAATGCAAATCTATACAGTGATATGTTGCTTAACGACAAAGACAAGTTCTGAGAAATGCATCCTTGGGCGATTTTGTCATTGTGCAAATATCATACAGTGTACTTACACAAACCTAGGTGGTATAGCTTACTATACACCTTGGTTGGACAGGATAGCCTATTGCTCCTAGGATACAAACCTGTATAGCATGTTACTATAATGGGTACTCTAGACAACTGTAACATGATCGCAAGTGTTTGTGTATCTAAACATATCACAGCGTAGAAAAAATACAGCGGAAACACAGTCTGAAAGATTTTTAAAATGGCGTACCTGTGCAGGGCACTTATAAACGGAGCTTACAGGACAGGAAGTTGCTCTGGGTGAGTCAATGAGTGAGTGGTGAGTGAATGTGAAAGCCTAGGACATTACTGCACACGATGTAGACTTTATAAACACTGTACACTTAGCCTACACAAAACTTATGAAAAAATATTTTTCTTTCTCCAATAATTTATATTTAACTTACTGTAACTTTTAAAATTTATGAACTTTTAAATCTTTTGAAGTTTTTGGCTCTTTTGTAACAACACGGCTTAAAACACAAATTGTACATATGTACAAAAATGTTTTATTTATTTCTTTATTTTATAATATTTTTTAATTAATTTTTTTCTTTTTAAACATTTTTGTTAAAAACTAAGACACAAACACACACATTAGCCTAAACCCACAGGGTCAGGATCATCAATACACTGTTTTCTACCTTCGTATCTTATACCACTAGAAAGTCGTCGGGGCAATAAGACACATGGAGTTGTCATCTCCAGTGACAACAATGTTGTCTCTGGAATACCTCCTAGAGGACCTGCCTGAGATGGTTTTGCAGTTCACTGACTTTTTTTTTTTTAAAGTAAGTAGAAGGAGTACATTCTAAAATAATGGTAAAAGGTATGGTATATTAATATATAAACCATCAACATATTCGTTTATTATTATATATTATGTAATGCACATAATTGTATATGCTATACTTTTTGTTTGTTTTTTGTTTTTGTTTTTTGTTTTAAGATAGGGTCTTGCTCTGGGGCTACAGTTATAGTTGTATTATAGTTGTATATAGGGCTATAGTTAGACACACCAGGCTGGTGTGCAGTCGCACGGTCTCTGCTCAGTGCAACCTCCACCTCCCAGATTCAAGTGATTTGCATGCCTCAGCCTCCTGAGCAGCTGGGATTACAGGTGCCCACTATGGCAACTGGCTAATTTTTGTATTTTTAGTAGAGACCGGGTTTCACCGTGCTGGTCAGGCTGGTCTCAATCTCCTGATCTCAAGTGATCTGCCCACCTCGGCCTCCCAAAGTGCTGGGATTACAAGCGTGAGTCACTGTGCCTGGCCTGTATGTTACACTTTTATACAACTGGTAGTGCAGTAGGTTCATTTACACCAGCATCACCACAAGCATGGAAAGTAAGGCTACAATGTGAGCATGGCAATGGCATCACTAGATGATAAGAATTCTTCAGCTCCATTATAATCTTATGGGACCACTGTTGTTTATGCAGTCTATATTTGACTTAAATGTCATTGTGCGGCCAATGATTATACATATATACACACACACCTGAGAACGTACAGTTATTGTGCATTTGGGATCATACTGTAACTAGTTTTTTTGGCTAAGATTTTTTTCCAATTAGATTTTTTTCCAGGCCCAATTTTTTTAAAACCAAAATTTTAACAATGACACATTAGTCTATCAAATTGTTAAAACTATCATATTTAATATTTTAAATTATTGCTTAGTTGTATTGTTTCTTCCATTACTGGTCTCAGTAATTATTATAATTAGTAGTTAGGGTATATTTATATGTGATAATAATTGCTACGGTACTTCTGTTTTTTATATTTTAGTAGAAATTAAAAGTAAACAAGACATAAACTGCTTAACATACAAACAAAATAAAAAAGCAGAATAGAAATTGAAAAATTTACAGCATAACTTAAGACCAATCATGACAATTATGACAATAAACGTAGTTGGAATACACTCTTCCATTAAAATATAGTAATTTCTAATTTTGTTAAAAAAAACTATATCTTGCTTACATTGATAAGAAACTAAAACAAATAATGAAAAAATTAATGAATAAAATAAAAATGAAATTTCTTCTGATACCAAATATTAATAAAATGGAAGAAGGGTTAAAAAATTAAAAATCAGGTGGGCTAGAGTCTCCATATGCTAGCTAAGGCTGGGTGTTCACAATTTTTTAAGAAGTCTTCCAGTTTGTAGGCAAATATTGTACTAGCTACATTCGTTTACATCTCTCATCGTTAGTAAATTTGAACATTTTTCATGTATTTTGTTAAGACTTTCTCCCTTTGGTATTTGCTTTCTATTTTCTTTGCATATTTTCATATTAGTTTGTCATTTTTGAAAGAATTTTAAAACATCATGGATGTATTTTTAATAACTTGTCTATTATATAGATTGTGATTTTGCCTTTTTCTTTGTAAATTTTGTTTATGAAGGTTTTTTTCACACATAAAATATTTTAATTTTGCACTGTATGGTATTTTGCTTTTCTCCTTTGAATAGTCTGAGATATAGACTCATCTACATGTTTTTCTAATTCTTCGTAGGTCTTTTAATTGGAAGTTGGAATGGGACTCAACAAGCTTCTCAGCAACAGTGTGACCTAAATGACGATTCCTTTATAAAGGCAGATTTGGCCAGGAGGAGCTTGTGGCAAATCTTCCCACAGCTTTCCTCCAACTGCTCAACAGCAAAGATATTTATGTCACTGCGAATCTCTACACCTGTGGTCAGTGATTTCATGCTGCTCATGGCTCATTTCATGCTGAGCAGCAGGAAAGGCCGTTGTGCAGCTTTCCCAGGCTGAATATGAACTCATCTTTTCTGGAGCTGTCCCACACTTTCCCTAGACTGCGGAGAAGGGCAGAAAACATGCTCTGTGGTACTATTGCTTGGACTTTTTCTTCAGGCTGCTTCACGGATAAGGTTGGGCCTGCTGCAGGTTAAGTTGGTGGAATGGAAAGGATAAGGTACTCATGTGATATGTCTCTCAGCCTACCTTGTAAACACAGAGGCCTTACACAAATGCTGTTCCAGTTGATATTATTATCAGGAATAAAGGAACTTAGTTGGCTCCTGGATAAAATATGACTTTCATGTATGCTGTTGCTTTTCAGGTTACATAGATTAAAAATTCTGTCCTCTGGCTGTAGAGTGCTGGTTTTGTTAAATTTAGACTTAGAAGGGAAATAAATATTAAAAGAATTTAAACTATCCAATGTAATTTCTGCCTCTAGATAGACAGAATCAAACAAAGTGAATTTTGGTTAAGAAGTTGCATTTAACAGAAATTTAACGTGGTATGTCCTCATATTAGGATTATGTTGAATTAAAAGATCCAGGTCAAACGACCTTGCCTGCTAGACTTTGATGATGTTTTGCCAAAAAATGATGGAAGTCCCATCTTTGGGGCAGCTGATGCTAGGCTAGCCAGGACCCTGAGAACATGTTTTAAAAAGACCCTATGCTGGCAAGAAGTATAGAGATTACTTCATGGGACTTCTGAATTACCGATTATTTTTGCTGGATTTTTGACACAGTATTAAAATTTTTTAAATCTAAACAAAAAATAGCTGTCAACTTCCTGAAGTTAAACTTTAGTCCTGCAACTACCACGGGATTGACCTCATATCACCCCTTTTTCATCATCTGACAAGGGTGGAGATTGGAGCAAAAGCAAGGAATATCCTTACTACTACACTCCATGCTTGGGTTTCTCTTGGACAAAGTGAGCTTTTCTCTAGCAACTAAGCCTAATTAGGGATTAGAGTAGGGGCTAAACAAATGAAACAGTGATAAGAAGCTCCCCTACATGTAGACATTTGAGCACACTCTCTCCCCTTACTAAAAACACACACACACACACACACACAAAATACTGCTGCAAATTAACAAATTCAGAAAATGCTGATATGAAAGAGAATGCCATATTCTAAGAATTTTTTTTCCGTAATCCCATAGGCAATATCAATATTTTATTAATAGGATGTGAGTAGCCCATTAACTCTAACAAGGTCCAGGTATCATGCAAGGTCCAGGTATCATGCCAGGTGTTTTATTACAGAGCAAACCCCTACACCCTGTATTTCCCAATAAAGTAGTGGCTCACACCTGTTGTCCTGAGGTAATTATTAATAACATCCCTGTTCACTCACAAAAGTGTACCAGTTTGAATGACAATTTATATGGTTATACTATTTTTATGTGACTGATTATCCTTTATCTTAAAGAGAACTGTGACAAAGATGCTATTATTATGATCCTCACTGAGGAACTGATTTACATAAAGGGTAAATAATTTATTTAAAGCCACACAGTATTTAAGTGGCAGTAGCTGGAAGTCAAACCCAGACTGTCTGGCCTCAGAGCCTGAAATGGTGGCTTCCCAACATTTGTCCTGAAGCTGGGCCCATAAGTGAGTGTCAATTTTTTTTTTTTTTTTTCGAGATAAGGTGGAGTGCAGTGGTGCGATCACAGCTCACTGCAGCCTTGACCTTTTTGGCTCAAGTGATACTCCCACCTCAGCCTCCTGAGTAGCTTGGGATAACAGGCATGCATGACCACACTTGGATAATTTTCGTATTTTTTTGTTTGTTTTGGTAGAGATGGGGTTTTGCCATGTTGCCTAGGCTGGTCTTGAACTCCTGGGCTCAAGTGATCCACCTGCCTTGGCCTCCCAAAGTGTTGGGATTACAGGCGTGAGCCACCACACCCTGCATGACTTCTAATTCAAAGAATATTATTAGATTGGAGGAGAAACTGGATGCAGACTTGGGTTCTCTTCCTCAAGATAAACTGCTATGTATGCCTTCATTCTCATCTATATCCTCCCATAGTTGGGTAAAGGAGATATGTGAGTATATGAAGGGACAAGCTCTCAGAAGGCACCTGAGATGAAAGTGCAGAATGGAGATAGAAATTCTCTCACCTGACTCTAGCAAATTCCAAAAAACAAGGGAAAAGACGCTTGATCTCATGGTACAGACCTCTTAGAACCTGTTATCTGACTTATGGGAACTCTACTCTTGGCAGATCTGGATGAAAGCTAGAGATTGCATATTTTAGCTGGTAGTTAGGGTCACAAAAAACATTATGTTAATTTATAGATCGCAGTCCCCTTTATAGTTTATGTTATACATAATGCTATAGATAGCACTGCAGTTTATTGATTTCTAATTTCTGAATGCAGAAAACATTGGGGGATATATAAACAAATACATGAAAAGTGCTAAGTAAATTGCATTCGAAATATCATTTATTATCCCGCTAACAAATTTACTTTTTTGTTACTTAAAATTTCCAATGCCTTAAAAATTAGAAGCATACTATTTAATTCGAATAATTTTTGTAGGTGGCTTTGTCCATGAAAACCACATTTGTCCTAATACTCATTCAACAAAGAATTTGAAGCAGGCCATACTTAATTTGCTCCTCTGTTTTATGGTCAGGAAAGCAGAGATATGGGTGATCTACTAGAAGTCCACACAGGTCAACCATGTGGAGTTTGAATTAGAATGCAGGTGCTCCCAGCTCAATCACAGCAATAGATAATCCCATGCAATTATGTTTCCTCACACTTGGAAAGTCACACCGGAGTATTCAAAGCAAGTAATTGGTCCCAGTAACTTAATGGGCTGTTTCTGAATCCACTTGACCTCGCTATCATGGACTTTCAGGTGTGCCATCTCATCAAAGGCCTCAGAACATTGTACGGGGGGTAGTTTGCCCCTAAAAAAGGAGCTTATGGGACTGTCCTGATTGCTTAAGCATGAGAACAGATGTTTATTTCAAGGCCACACTGCTCATGCTTCAGAACATTGCTTCCATGAGACTTCCCTAAGACAGTGGTTTTCAAATAGGCACACACATAACCCTGTCTATGGAAATTCTTTCTAAGGGGGAGGGCATATGAGTAGTTTTGAGTTTCAGTTATTGGGTTCTCAATCTCTGTATATTATCTTTCCTAAGACTGATCTGTCTTACAACTTGTCTGAGGTATGAGGAGCTCTCTTTTCTCTAACTCCTGTTCATAAACACCCTTCTCCCACTTTACAAAAGAACAAACAAAACACAAAAGCCCACCTCTCAGTCATCTTGGATAGAGCATCTTTTTGGGAGATAAAGAACCTCTTGGCTCCAAACACTAGGGCTTGTTGGCAAAGTGAACGACTCTAATGACCGGTTAACAAAGCTTTTTGCAAGTCTGGTGGTTTCCAGTTCTTTGCTTTCAACAAAATTATAGGAGGATCTAAATAAGTTGTTAAGCTGAAAAATGATTACACATAATTCTTAATGATCAATCATCATGTGATTTCTGACATATAACTAGGGAGGAATTTATAGAACCGAGGGAAATAACTATAATACAACTCCAATTTCACCTACTTTTAATATAAACATGTTTTTCAGCACTGAGGTCAGAAAAAACAAAATTATGAATAGAAGTGAGGGTAATGTTTATGTACTTCTAGCAAAATATAATATTTGAGCATGAATACATGAACTAGTTAAAATAAAGAAAAACAGGAAAAGAAAAACCCAAAACAAAATACTTCACTGATCTCATTAAGAGAAGCATTTGTAAAAAAGTTTTACTTTAAATATTTAGGAATTATTAGAATTCATAATGTAGTTACGTTGTCTTGGCCAATTGTGAGTTGATAATATTTGTAATAATTCAATCCAGAAGAATTGTGTGTGTGTGTGTGTTTATGAATTTAAAGTTTTATTCCCTGGGACTTTTATTAAGGTTTAAATTTTTATACAGTTTTTTTTTTCTTTTTTTCCCCGAGAATTGTAATGCTGTGATTATAAAAATTTTCAAGGAAAAAGGTATTATGTTGGATTTAAGTTATTTCTTTATTTTTGGGAAGGGAAATGGAAATATAGTTACAACATGACAAAAAAAGATATAGAATTTCTAACTGTTAAGTTTCTGCCAATTATTCAAAGAAGGATGTCTAGTTGATCATTTAGCTTTTTGTGACTTCATGTTCTCATGTTTACAGTGGAGGGGTTGGATAATCACCATTTATTATTTTAGCTGCTGAACTCTTTATTCAGATGGAATCTTAAAATCTGAATGACGAGGAAGTATTCTTAGACCTGTTTTTTTTTTTTTTTAATAACTAAGGGCAACAACATATTTTTCAAATGATTATCTTAGTTCTCAAGTCTATTCCCTTTTCTCAACTAGGGAAGGTAGAGAGAAAAAAAGGGATATCTGATAGAAAAGGGAGAATGAGGTCCTCTCAACTACTGAATTTTCCAGTTTCCTGAGCATTCTAAATTTGTAAACCATTTAAAATACCCAGCTTAGGAAGTTGTTGTTAAATAACATAAAGACAATTGCCCTGGAGACTAAGAGAGGAAGTTAATCATGATTTTCCACAGAAAGTTTCCTAGGAGAATAATTTTAGGTTAGGATTTGTGGTTAAGGTATCAAAAATGAAAACATCAAATTAAAAACATTGAGACCTTGATTTTAAAATTCATTCAAGCAGTCCAACTAGATAAGCCTCCTCTATTAGGGGTTAGGGCTTGACGAAGACCTTATTAAATAAAATTAATGGAAAATGCAAAGCCAACGGGGCAGCTGTGTGTCTTTGTAACCTAACTGAAACGTAAACACCATGAACAGTGTTAAAACATTACCATAATAAGTGCATTCAAGAGATGCTATCCAGGAGCTAACCTATCCAAAATGACCGCATGCTGCCGATAGAGTAGTGCTTTAAACAGCACAAATAGGCAATTCAGTTTCAATCACTAAAAATCTCATCTTCTGAAGAGATCAGACTGGCAATATAATTAAATGCAATAATTTGCTTCAGAACATAAATGATAGAGTTCATCATTTGTTGCACCTTAACTAAATACAACAATATGTCAAAATATGAGGTGGAATCTTTTTAAATTTAGAATAGAATATTTAATCAGCTTTATTTTTTAAAATAATGACTTGGTTAGATGGCATTTACTACATATTCTATGTATATCGTTTTGTTTTCCCTTTAAAGAAAAATTAGTGAAGAAAATTGTCAATTTAGGCTGGGCATGGTGGCTCACTCCTGTAATCCCAGCAAGTTGGGAGGCCGAGGCAGGTAGATCACCTGA